ACTATATGCAGTATATGGCAAGAATAACTCTAAAGAAAAGCTCACATACTGATGCCAGAGCTTTTGTCTAAGGCTATGTGAAGTTCTGCTATTTCAAAATCTCAAAATAGGCATAACTCTTACTAGTAACAATGCTGAAGGGTTCATTACTTATCAGTGAATTAAATATCAGTGAGTTAGGCATTGGTGAAATAAACTGGTCAGTAAATTGATTGTCGGTAAAGTGTTGTGTTTACAAAATGAGTGTTAGTAAAATAGGACAAATCTATTTTGATTATTTTTTACTTTATAATAATACAAGAGAAGAGGAGGCACCACCGGCACCCTTATATTAATTGTAGTATTTTATAGAGATTTATTTATTATTTTTATTATGTTTTGTTAATAATTGTAATTATATGTTATATATATTTCTAATAATATATAATTGCTAAGGCTAGATTAACATGTAATTACAGTCTGACCTCAATATAGTCACTCCTGATATAGTCACAAATTCGATATAATCATGGATTTTTTTTTACCAATTAAATTTATATTGGTTTAACCTGCATATAGTCACAAAAACTCTATAGTCTCTATCACATAATTTCTAAAATCAATCCTATTAAAATTCCCCCAATATAGTTACAAAAAAGTCAAACTCTCACAAGTTTACAGATAGATTTTTCTAATTGTATCATGTGCATTTAATATTTTCTGTTTTGTAAAAAAATCTTGCTTTTTCTGAATGGTAAATATTTATTTTGTTCTATAGTCGTTCTCATAAAATTTGGTTGATCGAATATGATAAAATCAAGAATTCGGCATTATTAATACAATGCATATTCCCATTGTTAAAAAATGTATTCATCGTCAGAAAGCTTGCCAGTTTGAGCAATAACTAAGACTAGCAAGTTTTCTTTAAGTTGAATTTTAATATACAGAGTTTAGTCCCGATAATAAACGGATTATAATCAGAAACGTTTAGCTATATTTTATTTACACAGTGAATAAATAACAGTACAACACAGACCAACACCGGGCTGTTTTATGCTTCTTCACCCCGTTAAATTCATTACCCAATTATAATATTACAGTTTCAATTTAAGATTACTGTATAAGTGCGAAATAGCATTGAAAAATCAGGTCCTTCGAAATAACTTATGGTCTCTATTTAGTGCTAATGGGTGTCCCGCATTCTAATTTAGCACAATTTATTGTCACAATAAACGATATAAAGTCAGCACTTGATGTACTAATTTCTCTGATTGGTTCTACTAATTATTTGTGTATCGGAGTATCTGTGCTATTAATCAATTTTTAGCATTCTGATAGTGAAGTGGGAAAAAATTAGTAAACCCCACATAAATTGATCGGTCTAATGTAATTATTTACTATGCTTTTTAAATTACTGTAATCAGTGATTTTCACACATTACACCAGGAATCAGAAATCTAGAAAAAATGCCAATACATGATTGGCTAAAAATTATTTTTAACCAATCACAAATTTGCATTTATTTTAGATTTCTGATTCTCGGTGTGATGTATAAAAATCACTGATCGCAGTAATTTGAAAAGTGCAGTAATATTATGTGTAGATTATTCTCCACAAATGAATATTCTATAAATGCACTTTTACTCAACAAAGTGCATTTATGAAGGTTGATTTGAAATAAAGCACAGGTTAATTAATTATCGCGCAAGTGGGCGTTATTTCACGCTTACACAATATGATATTGCTTTATTGATCTGATCTTATAATCACTAGCATGATCCAAAATTGCAAGACCAATAAAAAGGTAAAAATTTCCAAAAAAAAAAAATCTTGAATATGGCTTGATTCAATCCAGTATCATGGCTTAAAGCTAAGGCTTAGCGTAAATCTAATCAGTTTGAGACATTGTTAAATCATTAAATTCAATCCAGAACCATGGTTTAAAACCAAAACTTGGCATGAGCATACTATAAATAGAATCAATTTCAAATTAATAATAGATAATGTCAAGAGGAAATCAGACATTGGGCTTAAAAGTTATAATTTAATATTGATAGGATTTTTTTAAGTACTAAGTCTGGTATAAAATATTTTAAAGCCCTGAACCTGATTCTCTTAGTATACAAACCCATTTTTAATATCAATATAGAAGTTATAACTCACTCTTGCCTTAAATTAGGTTCTTAAACCTCGGATATAAACTTTTCAATAAGCCAAGCCAATAACACCTCTATCAAATATAATGTGTGAAAATGTAAAAATTTTAGAATAGCTTTGAAATAAAGATAAATATAAAAATACTTCCATCGCATAGCACAAAGCCTCAAGATTAAAATAGTTTAGTGATTAGATTAGATAGAATGATGTAAAAACTTAATTGTAACAAAAAATAATAAATAAAAAGACATCTTACCGTTGGTTGTAACAGCCACGTTGTTCTTTGAGTCTTTATAAAAGCTAAACCTTAAAAGTTTTGAGTTTGTAATTAGAATTTCCCATGATTTCTAGTTCATCACAAAAAAAAACACGTAGCCAACTTAATAATTCCAACGCAAACAAATTTGTGAATATGCCATCAATAACCCATCAGTGAAACAACAAGATATCGCTGAAGAGTTTACACAAAGGTACTCTGAACTAAATCTTGATCGATCAACCATTTCTAAGATATTAAAAAAAAAGAATCAATATCTGTATCTCGAGAAAAATATTGCCACGCAAAATTGTTACAAAAACAGAGGGCCAAAATTTCCTTTGCTCGAAAGTGCAATGAATCTTTGGGTTGATCAAGTTTCTGCTGCAGAATTGCCTATTTCAGATGAGTTAGTAAAATTAAAGGGTCGCGAATTTGGAAGACTTCTTGGCATTTCTGAAGAGAAGCTAAAATTCTCAAATGGGTGGATTACTAATTATAAAAAAAGAAATTCTTTACGCAGATATAAGCTTCATGGTGAAGCTGCAAGTGCACTCTTAGAATCTCTATCAGATGAGAAAATAAAGCTTCAACAACTTCTCTCTCAATACGAATTAGAAGATATATACAACGCTGACGAAACAGAATTGTTTTATCGAATGCTGCCAAATTAAATACTAGCAAAAAAGGCAGTAGCTGGATCAAAAAAGTAAGAATCCTTTTTTTTCATATACAATAAAATCTTCAAGTACATACATACACTATTATACTGGTAACTCATCCCAACTTATAAGAGCATTATATATTTTGGTTACTATAAATGCACACTCTCTTTAAGTGCACGTTTTGCTTTTATTTTACTATAATCCTAAGCCAGATGCACTTAGATAGATTTTACTATAATAAAATTATTTTAAATAGGAAAAAAAATTGTTGCCCAAACCTGAATACTATTATAGCAATTGTATTCTTTTATCTAATGCTTTGTTTTGTTTTTTGTATTTTTAACAATCTTATTACAGGATAAATCACGGCTTACAGTACTACTTGCCGCGAATGCAACCGGTTCACATAAACTTCGGCCCCTTGTTATTGGGCATTCGAAAAAACCACAAAGTTTTAATGATATAAGATTATCTCAACTTCTAGTAACATATGAAAATAACAAACGAGCATGGATGAGATCGGATGTTTGGAAGAGATGGTTGCACTATATTAATACTGGCTTTTGTATTCAAGATAGAAAGGTTTTACTTCTTGTAGACAATGCACCATCTCATAGTTCACCTGAATCGCCTAATGATACAAAAGAAAAAAATAGAATAATTAATATAGATGATGATGATGGTTGTCAATTAGATTCTGAAAATGAAGATTCAGTAAATGATTACTCTGGTTCACAAATTGATGATAATAGGAATGATGAACAGCAAAATAATAATAAAAGTAAGTTAAAATAAATACTAATAACAAAAAAAAAAAAAAAATAAGGCATCTTTGTAAACCAAAAAACTATTATAATATGATTTAAGGGCGACCATGCGAAAAACCACGTGAAAGCATAAGCGGAAGACCATGCGGAAGTGGAAGTAGAAAACTACGTGGAAATGGAAGATCAGCAGAAGTGGAAGCGGAAGACAACGTGGAAGACCACGTGGAAGACCACGAATTTCTCATATTAAATCTTCACGTCAACAAAATAAGAAAAAGTCTTCTTCTAAAATATTAAAACTTTCAAATATTACCTTGCATTACCTTCCACCACATACAACTGCTCACATTCAGCCTATGGATGCTGGTATAATCAAATTATTTAAATCAAAATACAAGCGTCTATACTGTGAATATGTTCTCCAACAATTCGAATCTGGTGTGATATAAAAGAGTTTGTAAAATATTATTGTACTGAAGCTTGAAGTAAAATTTGCATCCCCTTCAAAAACATAAATTCCCTAAAACCTACTTACATTCTTTCGCATAAACATAATTCTTAATCCTAATCTAGCCTTAATAATAAACCAAAAAATATGAGTGTTGTCAAAGAAAAACCTGTCATCGGGAAGTCCGATGACAGGTTTTTCTTTGACAACACTCATATATTTAAAGATTTGAATTCAACCATCCCTAATTCTCAGCTTTAACACACCTATTGGTTCCACTATTTTACTAACTTAGTTTTTTTCTTACAGAAAAAAACTAATTGTTAAAAAGGCAATTGATTTCATTGCGGATTCATAGAACGGAGTAAGTGACACAATCATCCAAAATTGTTAGCTCAAGACAAAAATTCTCCTGAATGCAAATGAATCGGAAGTGGATACTATAGATCAGTATGTTGAAAGAGATACTTTATTAGATAATGATGAAATTAGTGAAATCATTACTAAGTTACCTGATAAGAGCCTGTATGCACCTAAGACGGCTCAGGCTGTAGCAACATATGTACAAGTAGTTGACAAACCCATTGCTACAGAAAGAATACTTAACGATAAAAAATCATTGCTACAATTCAAGCTGAAGAAAATGAGGAAGGATCAACTGAACAGGAAATTGAAGATGAGAATGAGTTGCCTAAACCCCTGTAACAGCTGCTGAAGTATGTAATGTAATGCAAACCGTTATTCGTTATGAAGAACAAGAAAATTCAGAGTCAAATATTACACTGGAAGGATTAAGATTTTTAAGAAAATTGCTTAAAGAATATAAACGTATATATGAAAAGTCAAAAAAGCAATCAAAAATTACTAGTTTTTTTGATTCCCAAATTTCAAACCTCTATGATTCATTTACCCATGACCCATTCTCCCATGATCTCCATAATTCATTTCTCTATAATCCCATGATTCATATCCCTCAAAATTATATTCTCAAGACTATTCTCAAGATTCATACCTTCAAGAATCATATTCTCAGGACTCATGCCTTCAAGAATCGTATTCTCAGGATTCATACCCTCAAGATTCACACTCTCAGGATTCTTATTCACAAGATTCACAGGATTCTACACAAGATCAGTACCTAGATGATTCGTCTTTTTCTTATTCTCAATATTCATATTTCTAGCTACAAAAAAAAAAAAAAGAATATAAATAAATCTTTTGTTAACAATTTAAGCTATATATACTGTACAATTGTGATTTATGCTATTTGATAAAGTCGTAACTTGAAATAAAATAAATTAATTAAAATAAAATGAAGCATTAAAGTAAAAAGTTAACATTGTATAACCTAGCTTTTGGAATCTGAAAAATAACCTGTTAGACTCTGTGAACAATTAAGCCCTGGTTGAAATTTAGAATAGTTTTAAGCAGCGTATTTAGTATCACTTTATCTTAGAACCCATGTTCTATTTTCTACACTGAAGGTTCCTTTGATCTCTTGACCGGCTGTGACAGATCTACTACAAATAGAAGAATATGGTGTGCAAATTAAAAGGTTAAACCTATTTTATAAATGCCGCTATATCACGGCATAATGATAGTCATAAATAATATATAGTTATTGGGTGTAAAGCAGCCAATAACAAGAATTATTTGTAAAATAATTCATTATCTGGTTGTAAAATTTAATATGTCAGCTTCTGGGTCCTGAAGGAGCCCAGAAATGACACATGGTTTGCGACAATTGTGTTTGCTAAATGACTCGAGTTTTTGGCAATAATTATATAAACTGCCAAATAACGAAATTATTTGGCAGGTGACGTAACCATTGCCAAATAACTCGCCGGATAAGTAATCGTTATTGAATATAAGGTAATGATTAAGAGTATTAAGCCACCTCTTTATAGTCACCAAATTTTTTATTTGTTATAATTGTGACTATATAAAGGTTTTTTTTATATAGTCACATCTTTTTATAGTTACTTAAATTCCATTTCCCGGACCTGTGACTATAACGAGGTTAGACTGTATTGTATTAATCTATTATATAAAGAGCATTGGGGTAGATAAATACTATAAGATAATTCACGAAGACAAATACTATGAGACAAAAATAGAATCTAATTTGCTGAAGTTAAATGATAGTATCTATTATACATAAATCAATTTTTAAAATTTTAAAGAAAATTTTAATAAGTAAACCTTTCTTGTGCTTCTAAGTAAAATTGTAGAGAGGTAGCTCGTTAGGCCCATACAGGCTTTTTTTGGAAATTAATTTGGGCCATCTCCCAAAATTCTAGTCACATGATAAATCATTATGTGACTAGTATTTTGACGAAATAACCCAAATTAATTTTCAAAAAAAGCCCGTATGGGCCCAATGGGCTACCTATTCCCTACCCTAGTTCTAATAGTGGTTAGATCATTAAAATTGGCCTTGTGAATTTTAAAATATTTGGAGTTAAAGACATGAACATAAGAATCTGCAAATTGATAGTTATACAAAGTATTATTGTCTATAATACTTTGTATAACTACCAATTTGCAAATCTTTATATTTACATCTATAACTTCAAATATCTTGGGATTCACAAGGCTAATTTTAATGATCTAACCACTATTAAAGCCAGAAAAGTCTTCTCTACAACTTTACTTAGAAGCCCAAGAGAGATTTACTTATTAAAATTTTCTTTAAATTTTAAA